ATTTTCTGCCTTCCAGGCACATGATAGAATCACTTCTCTGAGCCCTCATGAAATTAGTCACAGCCAAGTGGCCAATGACTTGTGAGCAGAAGTTATAGAAGTTATTGCTTCCAGGCAAAAGTGCTTAATTAGCTCCCAGTGAGGGCACCCACCTGCGATCCCAGCATTCAGGAGGCTGAGCCAGGAGAACTGCATGAGTTCCAGTACAGTCATGGCTACATAGTGAGACCTTGTCTCAAACAAACAAGTGATAAATTGCCAATGTAATATGCAATGCCAGAGACTCCGTCTCTTCCTCTTTCTTCTTTAAACATGTCATGAAGGGAACCCAGGGTTCTTCTTACATGCTAGTCAAGCCCTCTACCACTGACCCACACTCCCAGCCCTAGGACCTTATGTTATTTTATTTATTTACTTATTGTTTTTTCTTTTTTGGTCTTTTTGAGACAGGGTCTCCCTGTAGCCCCAGCTGTCCTGGAACTATGTAGACCAGGTTTATTTACTTATTTTTATGTTTATTATGTCTATGTGAGTGAATGCCATGTGTGTGCAGATGCACACAGAGGCCAGAAGAGGACATTGGCTCCCTTAGAGCTGGAGTTACAGGGGGTTGTGAGCCACCCAGCATGGGTGCTAAGAACTGAACTCAGGTCCTCTGGAAGAGTAGTAGCAAGTGCTCTTAATTGCTGAGCCATCTCTCCAGCCCCTATTAATGTTTTGGGTTTTGTCTGTTTGTTTTGGTTTAGAGGGTTTGGGTGTTTTGTTTTGTTTTTTTGAGACAGGGTCTCCCTATAGTCCCAACTGGCCTGGAACTCACTATGTAGACCAGGCTGGCCTTGAACTCACAGAGATTCTCCTGCCTCTGCCTCCGGATTGCTGGGATTAAAGGCATACACCACCCTGCATAGCTTAATGTATTTTATTTTATTTATTATTTTTATTTTATGTGTATGAGTGTATTGCCTGCATGTATGTGAGTGCACCCGTGTCATACAATGCTGTGGAGGTTAGAAGAGGGCTTCGGATTCCCCTGGAACTGGAGTTAAGGACGGTTCGTAGCCGCCATGTGGGTGCTGGGTATCGAACCTGGGTCCTCTGCAAGAGCAGTCAGTGCTCTTAACCACTGAGCCATCTCTCCAGCCCCAGCTTAATGTATTTTTATGTCATATTTATTCATTTATTTGGGGTGTACATACTATGGCACATATTTGTAGAGGTCAATTTGTGGGTGGCAGTTCTCTCCTTCCACATGTGGGTCTTTTTTTTTTTCTTTTTTTTTGAGACAGGGTTTCTCTCCCTGTAGCCCCAGCTGGCCTGAAACTCATGTAGACCAGTCTGGCCTTGAACTCACAGAAATCCTCCTACCTCTGCCTCCGAAGTGCTGAGACTACAGGCATGTGCCACCATGCCCAGCTCCACTTGTGGGACTTGACTTATGAACCACCTCACCAGATGGAGTACTCTCTTTGGGGATTTAGCTCAGTGGTACAGCGCTTGCCTAGCAAGCACAAGGCCCTGGGTTCAGTCCTCAGCTCCGAAAAAAAAGACAAAGATATGATGATGATGATGATGATGATGTGTGTGAAGCTTCTTTCAGCCTGGATTCCCAAATGTATGTGTGATCAGTGCCTGTCACCTGTTCTAGTGACTCAACAGAGACCATTAGAAAAACAGAACCGTGTTCCAGTACTTAGGCCGTTACCTTTACTGTTGTTACTACGCATTACTCCTCCACACATCAAGTCTCTTCAGAGTTCTGAAAAGGCTTCATAGCGGAATCTTGAGATAAGCTTTAAAAGCTGAGTGTTCCACCACCTGATAAGGAAGAGGGAGGTGACTCAGGCTGAGCAGTACCTGTGAGAAGAGCTTAACTCTGAGTCCAAGGGACATTAAGGACACTACAAACAGTTAAGGAAGGTTAGGGATGGAGGGCAGGAGAGGCTCCACTCACCTAGACCCTGGAGGAAAACAATGCCCTACCATGGAGCCAGGGTTTATAAAATGCAGGGAGTCAGCTATATGATGTTTTAGATAAGGAGCAATTGGATGTGATTAGCATTTCAGGAATAGGATTCTGGGGATCCATGAAGACAGCTAGGAGACCAGAGAGGAGACAGTTATAGTTCTGGCAAGACACCAAGGCCAGAAGCAGGCACAGAATCAGGAAAGGGATGTCAAGACCCAGGTCGAGGCATTCTTTATAAGACCATTCCAGGCATGACTGTCTCAAGCTGTCAAACTGTTCTATGATCACTATTCCTTGACTAGAGACTTCTGGAAATGTTTCTTAGTCTCATATTGCCAAGCTCCAGCTCAGGGTTGGCACAGAGTAGGTGCACATGAATTTATTAAAGAGATGGATATAAGATTGACAAGTAAGAATACGGAGAGGGGCAGAATATCCCAACACTAGAGATGCGGAGGCAGGCAGATCTCTGAGACTTTGAAGCCAGCCTGGTGTACATAATGAGTTCCAGGTGAACCACGTTGACACAGTGAGACCCCGTCTGAAAAAAAAAAACAACAAAAAACAAAATAGCTCAGTGGTTAAGAGCACTAGCTGCTCTTGCAGAGGACCTGGGTTCATTTTGCAGCACCCACATGGCAGCTAACTCCAGTTACAGTTACAGTTACTATCTGTAACTCCAGTTTCAGGGGAATTCAATGCCCTCTTGTGACCTCTATGGACATTTGACAATATGGGTGCACTTACATACATGCAGGCAATACACTCATACACATTAAATAAAAATACTATTTTTTTAAATGAAGGAAAAATGTAGAAGAAAGTAGGAATCTGTACTGAATCCTTAGCATTTAGTGGAATTAATAGTGGTATCTTTGTGATGACTGCAGAAGGGAACACAATCTGTGTGGAACATACTGTATTTTATCTTTTCAAAATTTTAATTAGGTAATTTATCTATTTATTGAGGCAGGATCTCCCTGTAGCCCCAGTTGTCCTGGAACTCACTATGTAGACCAGGCTGACTTTGATCTCGCAGAAACTCCCCATCTCTGCCTCCTGAGTGCTGGGACTAAAGGGGCATACCACCACACCTGGCCCTTATTTTTATTTTTTTTAATGCATACGACTGTTTTGCCTGTATGTATGTAAGTGCATCACATACATGTTCAGTGCCCAAGGAGTCCAGAAGAAGGTGTTGGAGCTCTAGGAAATGGAGTCACAGATGGTTGTGAGCCGTCACATAAGTACTAGGAACTGAACCCGGTCCTTTGTGAGAACAAGAGACACCCAACCTCTGGAGTTCCAGCACTCAAGGCAAATACAGGAGGATCAGTATGTTCAAGAGTTCAAGGTTAGTCTAGGATACATGAGACTGTTCTCTCTCTCTCTCTCTCTCTCTCTTTCTCTCTCTCTCTCTCTCTCTC